CCGCCGGCGACTCCCCGCGGCCCGCTGCAACGGCGACGAAGTGACCCGGCTGTGGCGCCTGGCGCGGCTTCCACCAGCGCTGACAGGCTAGGCGTGGCGACGCGACAGTGCTGGGCGCGGGGCTTGCCAATTAATCAGCCCTACCCCAGCGGCTACTATGGGGCTGCCTGAATGGGAGCGAGTGCGCGCGCACGTGTGTATGAGTGTGCATGTGCATGTGTGTGTGTGTGAATGATGCACAATTGAAGGGCGATTTCTAGGACCACCGTCCAGCCAGACAGTAACTGATTATAAGTCCTTGGAAAGTCCCTGGAAAGCCAGGACTAGCCTGACGTCAGGAGGGCTTGGGACTGGCCTTAGGGGCTGACTCCCCCGAGGAGGGTCTCAACAAAGCAGGTCCTTCCTCCTCCTGTAGATGTGTTGATTATTTAGTGTGTCGTGTGTGTGTGTGTGTGTGTGTGTGTGTGTGTGTGTGTAGAATGGGGAGTGTGAGGTATATGGTTGTCGTGTACATGTGGCATGGTGGTGTGAGTTTGTGTGTGGGGTACTGTGTGTATCCCGTGTGATGTGTATGTGTGTGACACTCCTGCATCCACCTTGCAGAGTGAACATCCGTCATTAGGAGATGCCGTAGACACACTCCAGCTCCATTCTCTGAGACCCAGTATGAAGCCTGAACCATAAAATAGTATCCACTTACATTTTTTGCATCTGTATTAAGTGGGTTTGACCTTGAAATTGGGTTAGATAGACCTAAGCATTTAGCTTTCTTTCTTACCTAGCCAGGGGCTGCATGGCCAGTGGTTGTCACCATCGTGGGAATTCTGGAGCATTCAAAGAGCCCCTGACTTCCTTCAGGGGCCCCTGACTTCCTTCAGAAGGGAGAAGGCCTTGGAAGACAGCTGGACAGGGGGCCCCTGTGAGGGGCAGAACAGGAAGTTGCTGTTCTGAGGTGAAATCAGCTGGGATTGCTGAGGGAGCAGGGATCAGTTCTGCTAGTCAGGTCTGTTATCAGAAAGTGGAAAGAAGGGTCCTGTCAGCTTCCCGCAGTCTACCAGTCCATTAACACCAGCTCTTTATTCAGCCCACAGACTCCTGAGGGTTGGAGAAATTGCTCTTTTCCTTTTTACATCTGTTATTTTAAGCAAAAATGAAGGAAATCCCTTCTTATGTAGAGGAAAAGCCTCATTATTTTCCAGTCTGTAGCCAGATCTCTGCAGCTGAGCAATTCAAGTTTTACTATCCCTTTGCCAGCATAGCTGGAGTAAATAGAAACCTCAGGCCTAGGTCCCTGGCCAATGTGAGTTGCAGCTACCTGGCTAGGACGAGGCCACCAGTCCTGTGTAACTGGTGAAACAACATATCTTGGAGGCTTGCTCACCTGCTGGCTTAGTTAGAGGCTTGTAACAAGCTGTAAACAAACAACCACCTCTAGTTAGGTATTTGTCACACTTCCTTAAGGTTTTACAAAGAGAATGTCAACATATAAATATTGAATTACTTCTGTGCAGAAACAAACCGAAGGGAAGTAAGGAATGACCAGATGTGACAGGACAAGGCAGTTGGCCAAAACATGCAAAGGGAACTAACGACTGGGTTGTGAAAAGTCATGGCACCGTTTTGAGTAGAAAATACGTCATGACTTTTCCGACAATCCAATATCTTGTCATTTTTTTTTTTTAATTGTGGGCACTCAGTAGATAGAAATGGGGAGACAGGGAGAGGAAGAAAGCATCTGCCATGGAGCTTTCTTCATGGAACCCACCCCTCCCAATGGGTGGGTTCTCAGTCACGCTCTGCCATGGTGGTGTGTTATTTTTAACTGCTCATGAAAGGAAAGTGTCATGGCTGTGCATCTTCTAACTTGCTCACATTGGATTTCTATGAGCAGGTGGGGCAGAAGAGTGGGAGCAAAGAAATAGACCAAGAACGCCAGCCCTTGCCCCCATAGAGACAGGTGACGAAACACCTCCCAGCTATTTAGCTCAATCAAAACACCTTCACGGCAATCTACAGGACCCTCCAGGAGTAGCCTCCCACTGGAGTCTTCTTGGAAGTGTCGCCCTGAACCCAGGCCCATTCATTAGAGTGATGGGTTCCTGGCAGCAGGAAGGAAACAGCAGAAACTATATTTCCAGATTCCTCATCAGAATGTTTTCCAGCCTCTGGTTTTGAGGTGGGAGTAAAGGTCCATTGTTCTATATTCCATTTCAAAATGTTTGCCGTGTAGAGGAGCTGCTAGTTGGGTGGTCTCTACAGAGACCCAGTCTTAAGTGTAGTTTCCCTCTCCGTGCATCCCAGTTGGAAGTATTTTAACATCTTCTCCTACCAAGCCCAGAAGGTTCTGCCATGATATCACATTTTCAGAAATTAATAAATGTGTCTAGCAGTATGTGTTTCATGTCTATAAACAAGGTTATACTTATTCATACAGAAATTATTCACTCCCATTGAGTCAGATATTCTTGTGGGTTTTTAAAATACTTACAAAAATTTGGGACTTTTGTGAAATTTCTGATTTATCTTAAATTTCTAGAAGAGGAAAGGAAAGGAGGGGGCCCAGGAAGTTTACAGATTACTTTTCATTTAGAGGCACGTTTCCTGTTCCCCTGAAACTGTTCACGCTAGTATCACTGCTTGAATTACCAAGTCAGCCAATGTGCTGATAGACTGGCCTGGATCTCAGGGCTGTGATGGCCACTCTGTGGGTACAGATGGGCAACTGCCCTCTGACGGCACTACAGGGAAGAGATTTTGAGCATTCCCTTTGGTAAAGTGCATTTAGGACCTGGCCCAGCACCCTCAGCAGTGGTCAGGGGAGGTGAGAGTTCTGAAAACAGGGAGTCTGTGGGGACGCTGACCCAGTGTCCACATGCACTGGCTTAGGCATTTCTCAATTTGAGGGCAGGTGTGGTTTGGGTCAGTTTCTGTGGGGAGCTGGCAAATCCAGGCCAAGGTCACTGTGGCCAGGCCAGGCCCTGTGCCATAGGACCTTGTCCTCCATTACCAGCCTCGAATTCTCCATATTTGCGTGACCTCCCAACATTGTGCTCACGATGACTTTCCAGGGAGGAAAGCAGCAACTCAGAGTCTCTGCAAGTGTCAAAAGCAAAGCGTCAGAAAACAAGCTGTGAGAACAAGCTCCGTGGGGCAGACCAGCTCCACCATAGGTAGCTGTCCCTCGTGGAATGGCAGTGCCATAGAAGAATCCCTTCTGCCAGTGACTTCATTCTTCATCCTTATAGTGTCCCTGCAGATGCACCAGGCATACTTAGTCACCTGGAGGGAGTTTACGACCGTCACACTGTATGTACTGAGCATCTATTAGCAACTGCATGAGGTGCTCAACCAAATGGACTTGGTTCATTTTATGGTAACACTCAAAGGATAACATCATCCCATTTTAAAGTGTGGAAGCTGAATTCAGGGAAGTTGAGTAACCTGTCCAAGCCACACAGCAAGAAAGGCTGATCCAGGGTTTGACCGCAGGGGATGTCTACCCCAAAGTTTTTCTTTGTATCTCCTTTTGCAAAGGTCAGGACAAATTATACAAAAAGAAGGAAAATGTTAAAAGCAAGCAATGATGGGGTCCCATTTGTACCTAAATGAGATGAATTGCCTTTTGTGGTCTAACATTGAAGAAACATAGACTCTTTGAAATCCAGAGGAACAGAAAGTTTATTCAGGGTTTCCTCTGTAGACATGTGTGGAGTGCCTGTTCAGTTTGAAGCCCTTTTTGGGGAAGACACTGGATGGGGCCAGCCCCAGCACCTACTGAGAAGCTGGTTGGGCAATCAGATAACCACCTTACAGTGGTTAATGTCTGTGTAGGCACCCACTGAGGAGGGTTCTCCACCCACTAACCACTCTAGGAGCAGACAGTAAGATGTGCCCTCAACACCCCCCCACCACCACCACTGCCCTGGCAACGGCCCATCAAGGAGCCTGAGTCACACTGTGATGCAGGGAGGCAGCCAGGCAGCATCAGAGGCAGGCCTGCCTGCCTGCCTGCCTGCCAGCATGCTGCGGGCCAGCTAGACCTGCCAGGAACCTGCCTTGGGCAGCCCGATGATGAGTCCTATCACTCTGTGTCCACACTGAGCAAGCAGAGGAATGTAACCCAGATGGCAATCTGCCTACGCCAGGTGGCTCCACTAACCCTCCTGTTAAGATTGCCTGAGGTGGGGTGGTTTGGCATTATGCTTGTACCCAAGGTTGGGACCAATCTTATGAATGAAAATATTTAACCAACAATTTAAAATATTTACCCAACACCTATACAATGTTTTCCCTGACTTCAAAGAATGTTGACCCTCTCTCTGTGCACTAACACTAACCTGCAATCACACCACTGGAGAGTCAGTCTGGGATTGACCTCAAGATGTGTCAACCAATTAGCAGTCATTTCTTTCATTCTTTTTTTTTTTTGCTATAGGGTGCATGCATTCACCAGCAAGACATAGAGACAGAAAATGAGAAATCACCTCCCAGGGGGATGGCCACACTCCAATCCCTTCTCCATTCTCCTTTCAGGATCTTGGGCACACATGCACATGACCCCAACATGAGTTTTAAGCCACTGGGTCCGGAACTGGAACTGCATTCAATTACGTGGGAGTTCAGCTGTTGGTTCCAGCGGTCATGTTTATAAG